GAGGAGGACTGTGGATGTACAAGCTATGAATTTAAATGCAAAGATAAATCATGTATTCCTACATCGAAAGTGTGCGACGGGTATAGCGACTGCGCTCGCAGTGAAGATGAAAAGGACTGTGAATGTACAAGTTTTGAATTTGAATGCAAAGATAAATCATGCATTCCTACATCAAAAATATGCAATGGTGTCGGCGACTGTGTTTGGGATGAAGACGAGAAGGACTGCGGTTGCACAAGTTATGAATTTGAATGCAAAGACAAATCTTGTATCCCCACATCGAAAGTATGCGATGGATATAATGACTGTGCTCGGGGTGAAGAAGAAAAGGACTGCGGTTGTACAAGTTATGAATTTGAATGCAAAGACAAATCTTGTATTCCCACATCAAAAGTATGCAATGGTGTCAGCGACTGTGCTTGGGGTGAAGACGAAGCAGAATGCGGTTGTGCGAGTTATGAATTTGAATGTAAAGGCAAATCCTGTATTCCTACATCAAAAGTATGCGATGGATANNNTAGATGTGTATAAGAGACAGGTGACTGTCCTTGGGGTGAAGACGAGAAAGACTGTGGATGTACAAGTTATGAGTTTGAATGCAAAGACAAATTATGTATTCCTACATCAAAACAATGCAATGGATATAACGACTGTGCTTGGGGTGAAGACGAGGAGGACTGTGGATGTACAAGCTATGAATTTAAATGCAAAGATAAATCGTGTATTCCTACATCGAAAGTGTGCGACGGGTATAGCGACTGCGCTCGCAGTGAAGATGAAAAAGACTGTGAATGTACAAGTTTTGAATTTGAATGCAAAGATAAATCATGTGTTCCTCAATCGAAAATATGCGATGGAAATAGTGACTGTGCTTGGGGTGAAGACGAGAAAAACTGCGGATGTACAAGTTATGAATTTGAATGCAAAGACAAATCGTGTATTCCTACATCGAAAGTATGCGATGGACATAGTGACTGTGCTTGGGGTGAAGACGAGGCAGAATGTGGTTGTACAAGTTATGAATTTGAATGCAAAGATAAATCATGTATTCCTACATCGAAAGTATGCGATGGACATAGCGACTGTGCTTGGGGAGAAGACGAGAAAGATTGTGGTTGTACAAGTTATGAATTTGAATGCAATGATAAATCATGTATTCCTACATCGAAAGTATGCAATGGACATAGCGACTGTGCTTGGGGAGAAGACGAGAAAGATTGTGGATGTACAAGCTATGAATTTGAATGCAAAGATAAATCATGTATTCCTACATCGAAAGTATGCGATGGACATAGTGACTGTGCTTGGGGTGAAGACGAGAAAGATTGTGGATGTACAAGTTATGAATTTGAATGCAAAGATAAATCATGTATTCCTTCATCGAAAGTATGCAATGGACATAGCGACTGTGCTTGGGGAGAAGACGAGAAAGATTGTGGATGTACAAGCTATGAATTTGAATGCAAAGATAAATCCTGTATTCCTAAATCAAAAGTATGCGATGGACATAGTGACTGTGCTTGGGGAGAAGACGAGAAAGATTGTGGATGTACAAGTTATGAATTTGAATGCAAAGATAAATCATGTATTCCTAAATCAAAAGTATGCGATGGACATAGCAACTGTGCTTGGGGAGAAGACGAGAAAGACTGTGTGTGTAAAGGATATGAATTTAGATGTGAAGTTGGATCATGTATTCCTAAATCAAACGTATGTGATGGACATAACGACTGTGCTTGGGCTGAAGACGAAAAAAATTGTGGTTGTTCACATGATAAATTTGAATGCAACGATGGTTCTTGTATTGCTAAATCGAAACAGTGTGACGATTTTAAAGATTGTTTATGGGGAGAAGATGAAGACGGTTGTCACAATTGCTTTAATGGTGAATTTAGATGTCCTGATGGTCACTGTGTGAACTTCTGGCGAATATGCGATGGCAAGATGGACTGTTGGCCAAATAGTGAAGATGAAAAATATTGCACAGCTGAATGCACTGAAGGTCACTACCGTTGCCATGACGACACTTGTATTGATGATAATCTTCTGTGCGATGGCACCTATGATTGTGCTTTTGGAGAGGATGAATGGCAGTGTAAATCTCCGTGTAAAGATTTACAATTTCAATGTAGTGACGGTCAATGCATACATTTTTCAAAAATATGTAATGGTAAAGGAGACTGTTCAGATGCAAAAGATGAAGCGAACTGTCGACCAACCTGTAAAGAATTTCAATGCTTCAACGGAGATTGCATAGCATACAGTAACGTGTGTGACGGAAAACAAGATTGTACAAGCAATGAAGATGAAACCAATTGCCAACCGCTTTGCAGCTCTGAACAACACACGTGCATTGATGGTACATGTATTTATCGTGACCGTCTGTGTAATGGTGTGAGAGACTGTCCAATAAGTGGGGACGACGAAGCACATTGTGATGCACCCTGTAAAAAACACCAATATGAATGTCTCGATGGTCTGTGTATTCCAATAGATGCTGTATGCGACGGTGGCCAAGACTGTTCACTAAATGAAGATGAAACTTTCTGTACTCCAATTTGCAAGTCTGTTGAGTTTCAGTGTTCCAGTGGAAACTGCTTACCTCACTCTCTAGTATGTGATGGCACAAAAGATTGCCAAGGCGGTGATGATGAAAGTAAATGCTTTTCCGTTTGTAAGGATCATGAATTCATTTGTAGCAGTGGAGACTGTCTTTCATTTACTCGTATCTGTGATGGAATTAAAGACTGTCCTTTAACAGGTGAAGACGAGCTACACTGCAGATTGCCTTGTAATAAGGGAAAGTATACTTGTCGAGATGGGTCTTGTATTAATAACAATGTTGTTTGTGATGGCACTAAAGACTGTCCAATATTTGGAGACGATGAGGAAGATTGTTTACCTAAATGCTCAGAGGGGAATTTGCGGTGCAACGCAAGCTCTTGTGTTCCGTATGAAAAAATATGCGATTTTGTGCATGATTGCGTTTCTGGAGAGGATGAACAATTTTGTAGAAAAGTATGCCTTCCAGATCAATTTCAATGTTCAGATGGAACTTGTATTCAATTACATAAGGTCTGTGATGGACAAGAAAATTGCCCCAATGCTGATGACGAACATCATTGTAATTACATGTGTCATGTTAGTGACTTTTCCTGTCGTGATGGAACGTGTGTCCCATGGTCTAGTGTATGCGATTTCCACGTGGACTGTTATCCAGATGGAGAAGATGAACAGAATTGTGTACAGTCAGTCTCACTCCATGACTTCCAGTGTCATGATGGGATTCTAATTGCTTATAGCAGAGTATGTGATAGTAACATCGACTGTCAACATGGAGAGGATGAGAAAAATTGTTTGCCTCCGTGTGCAGCAGAAGATTTCCAATGCTATGAAGGAAATTGCCTCAAGTTCGATAAAGTATGTGATGGAATTAGAGATTGTAAAACATTTGGTGAAGATGAATTGAGTTGCCATCCAACTTGTAAACGTGGTCAATTGCAATGTAAAGACGGCACATGTGTTGAGTACGAGACAGTTTGTGACGGTTATCGTGACTGTACTCTTCATTACGAGGATGAAATGAATTGCATTCCTAAATGCCGTGCTGATGAATTTCAATGCGAGGACAAAACATGCATTACATTTGATCGTGTGTGTGATTCGAACCTTGACTGCCCTTCAAGCAATGATGAAACAAACTGTGCATCAAGTTGTAATTATAACGAGCACTTATGCAGAGATGGCTCGTGTGTTTCCAAGAGTAAACTCTGCAACGGCTACAAAGATTGCCCGGTCACAGGAGATGATGAATGGCACTGTAATAAACCATGTAGCGACACAAAATTTGTTTGTGGCAACGGAACATGTATAAATAACGATGAAGTATGTAATGGAATCAAAGATTGCTGGCCAGATGCAGACGATGAACATAACTGCTATTCAAAATGTGCCTTCAGCGATTTTCACTGTAATGACGGTACTTGTCAGCCATTTATAAAAATATGTGATGGCCACCCATCGTGTGCTAATGGAGAGGAGGAAGAGTTTTGCAATTCACAATGCAGCTACAATCAATTTTCCTGTCCAGAAGGACTTTGTATCACATTCTACAAAGTATGTGACGGCGATGTTGATTGTCCCTTAAGTTTGGCAGATGAAGTAAATTGCAATCCGGTCTGCTTACCAGATCAATTTCAATGCGTCAACAAAACGTGCATTCCAATTTCCAACGTGTGTAATGGTATGAAAGACTGTAAATTAGGAGAAGACGAAGACAACTGTAAGAGACCCTGCAATGACGATGAGTTCCAGTGTTCTTCAGGAGAGTGTATTTTACAAATGCGAGTATGTGATGGCGCTAAACATTGTCCCCATGGAGATGATGAATTTAATTGCAGGCCTATTTGCAAAACTGGACAATTTCAGTGTCTTGATGGTTCTTGTATTTTATACACTGATGTTTGTGATGGTATTATAAATTGCCCAACACGACAGGAAGATGAGACACACTGCAACCAAGCATGCCCTATTGACCAATACCAGTGCAATGATGGTAGTTGTCTTCCAAGGACAAACGTCTGTAATGGAATCAGAGATTGTGAAAATTCAGGAGATGATGAAGACAATTGTGATCCAAAATGTCATTCTGATGAATATCAGTGTCTTAGTAAGCAATGCATTCCCCTAAGCAAAGTTTGTGATGGCAAACACAATTGCTTACCACATGGGGATGATGAAGCTCATTGCCATGCACACTGTTATTCTGGATCATTCCAGTGCATAGACGGTACTTGTATAGGATATGATCAGATATGTGATGGCCACGTGGATTGCTTTCCATCATGTGAAGATGAACTGCATTGTACTCAAAGTTGTAAATCAAACGAATTCAAATGTAAAGACGGAAATTGTATTGAGTATAGTAAAGTGTGTAATGGCGAAAACGACTGTCACTATACTAACGATGATGAGAGTCACTGTCGTCCGGTTTGTCACTCAGGTGAATTTCAGTGCAACGATGGATCATGTATTCCCTATGATAAAGTGTGTGATCACACTATTGACTGTGTACCAAATGCTGAAGACGAAAAACACTGCCAGGCACCGTGTACCTATAACGAGTTTCAGTGCTATGATGGTGACTGCCTCTCATATTCTATGGTTTGCAACGCTGCCAAAGACTGTGTGGGAGGAGAAGATGAATTAAATTGTGAGTTCATATGCGGAAGCCATAATCTAATTTGCCCTAGTGGAGATTGTTTACCCTTTGATAAACTGTGTGATGGAAATGTTGATTGCCTTCCTGGTGGAGATGATGAAAGATTTTGCCATGCACCTTGTACGCACTATGAATTCCAGTGTCTTGATGGGACGTGTATAGATTACAAACGTGTGTGTGATGGAACTATTGATTGCGAACATACGAGTGAAGACGAGCATAATTGTGAATCAAACTGCCAAACTCACGAGTTTGCTTGTAAAGACGAATGCATTTCTGAAACAAAGGTTTGCGATGGGGTTTCTGACTGCAAACATAATAAAGATGAATTAGGGTGCCGGGCACCATGTCCTGCTGATCAGTTCCAGTGTCATTCTGGGAGTTGTATTTTTAGGGACCAAGTGTGCGACAGCGTAATAAACTGTCTGCCGTCTGGAGAGGATGAGGATCATTGCACTCCTCGGTGTAAACAGTATGAGTTTCAATGTGAAGACGGTACATGTATACAGTCAAGCAACCTATGCAACGCCTATAAGGATTGTCAGTATGGTGAGGATGAATTAAATTGTGAACATATTTGTGATCACTACCATTTTTCATGCGATGGACATTGTTTATCAAAGTCCAAGATCTGCGATGGGCATAAGGATTGTTTGCTTGGAGATGATGAGACTCATTGTTTTTACGTTTGCGAACCAGGTGAATATCATTGTAACAATGGAACATGTTTGCCATTTGAAAAGGTCTGCAATGGAATAAAGGACTGTGGTGATAACGGTGAAGATGAGGCTAGTTGTGTATCAAAGTGTGAAGGAAAATTTATGTGCAACGACGGAAAATGTTTAAGAGATTCAGATGTCTGTAATCATTATAACGACTGTGGAATGGACGGTGAAGATGAGAAGTTTTGCCAAACGCCATGTCCATATCATCAGTTCAGATGTCCTAGTGGAAAATGTATTTATCAAAACGACGTTTGTGATGGAAAAAAGGATTGCTGGCCGTCTGGTCTTGACGAAATATTCTGTCAACCTATTTGTAATTACGGGCAATTTAAATGCTCGGCTGGAGGCTGCATTTCGTTTACAGGTTTATGTAACGCAAACAAAGACTGCCACGAAGGGGAAGATGAAAAACTGTGTGATGGACCTTGTGCGCATCATGAATACCTATGCCCTGATGGTTCATGCATTGCGAACACTCTTCTGTGCAATGGCGTTAAAGATTGCCCGAACAGTGGTGATGATGAGCTCAGTTGTAAACACCCTTGTAAGCATAACGAATTTACTTGTCTCGATGGTAAGTGTATCGAATACACAAATGTATGTGATAAGGAGCACCATTGTTCAAATGGTGAGGACGAAATAAACTGTGAACATAAATGTAGAAAAGGTGAATTTCAGTGTAAAAACGGAAAATGCATCTCATTTGAGCAAGTTTGTAATGGATATGATGATTGCTTGTGGGGCGAGGAGGAAAATGTATGCCAGCCACATTGTGATAATTATGAATTCCAATGCCACGATTACTCTTGTATTTCATACGAAAGGATATGTAATGGAATTACGGATTGCTATCCAAGTGGTGAAGATGAAACAACGTGCTCTCATAGATGTTCATCCACTGAATTCCAGTGTGCCGACAACTCGTGTATACAGTATTCAAAAGTATGTGATGGCAAAATTGACTGTGGCTACAGTGGAGAGGACGAGAATCACTGCGCCTCAAAATGCCATTACGGAGACTTCCGCTGTCACAACGGAACTTGTATTCCCTTTAGCAAAGTATGCGATGGTGAAAAACAGTGTTGGCCACAGGGGGAAGATGAAAATTACTGCCAAGCTATCTGCAATCCTGATGAATTCCAGTGTGCTGACGGCACATGCATTTCCTATACAGAAGTATGTGATGGAAAAATAGACTGTAGTACCACTGGTGAGGACGAGCACAGTTGTAGCCAATTGTGCGAATATCATGAATTTCAATGTAGTGACGGATCCTGTCTGCCGTTTGACGTAGTTTGTAATGCCAATAATGACTGTTATAATGACGAGAATAACTGTGACGCCATATGTAACTATGATCAATTCCAGTGCCTCGACGGTACATGTATTAACTTCAAAAAAGTATGTGATGGTAGCAAGCATTGTCACCCGGCTGGTGAAGATGAGCAGCATTGTATAAAGCCCTGCCAGGAAGGACAGTTTGTTTGTATAGATGGAACTTGCCTAGAATTTGAAAAGGTGTGCGATGGAAATAGAGACTGTGATACAACTGGCGATGATGAATATTATTGTACTCCCTTTTGTCATAATACAGAGTTCAAATGTACCGATGGATCTTGCATACCAAGGGATAAAGTCTGTGACGGTGTGCGGGACTGTAAACCTGATGGAGTAGATGAATTAAATTGCGCCTTAAAATGCAGCGCTGAAGAATACACATGTGGTGATGGAACTTGTGTATGGTATTCTCAAGTTTGTGATTCTCACGTGGATTGTCATGGATCACATAAAGATGAACAATTTTGTAATCCTCCTTGTTCCCCTTCATATTTCCAGTGCTATGATGGCGCATGTATATCACAAAGTAGAGTATGTAACGGCCATAAAGATTGTGCATTAGCTGGCGAAGATGAGAGTAATTGTGAATTTAAATGTGCAACCGATCATTTCCAGTGCAAAGACAAAAGCTGCATTCCCTACATAAAAGTGTGTGACAACAAAAAGGATTGTTTGCCAAATGGTGAAGATGAAAAAACATGTGATAGAGTATGTAAAGGCGGTGACTTCCTCTGTCCTAGTGATGGCTCCTGCATAGCTTACGAACAAGTGTGTAACGGATATAACGATTGCCCGCAAGGTGCAGATGAACTCAATTGTAAACCAAGATGTCAGAGAAACGAGTTTCCATGTCGCAACGGACCCTGTATTAGTGTCCATGATCTGTGTAATGGAATAATTGACTGTCCATCGGGAGAAGACGAAAAGGTCTGTCAAAGCATCTGTGAATTCGGTGAACATCAATGCAGAGATGGCTCATGCATTCCCGATGAACAGGTTTGTGATGGACACAAACACTGTCCAGGAAACGACGATGAAAATAACTGCCTTAGGATTTGTGAGAAAAACGAATTTCATTGTCCTGATGGATCGTGCGTTCTTTATGAAAATATCTGTGATGGTAAAAAAGACTGCTTACGTGGAGAGGATGAACACCATTGTAGTTGGCCATGTGCGAATGATGAATACAGATGTAGGGAGGGAGATTGTATTGCGTCTGATCGCGTTTGCGATGGTTTAAATGATTGTCTTCCACTCGGAGATGATGAAATTTTTTGTCTACCCACTTGCGCTAAACATCAGTTCCAGTGTGACACTGGTGCCTGTATACCAAAGGAAAAGGTATGTGATGGGCATAAAGATTGTGGTAATTCAGCGGAAGATGAAACAAATTGCTTTTCAAAGTGCCGAAGTGGAGAGTTTATCTGCTACGACGGAACGTGTATACAATTTTCAAAAGTCTGTGACGGTATTGTGGATTGCCTTTTAGGAGCAGGTGACGAGATGTACTGTATTCCTAGCTGTGAACCATCGGAGTTTCAGTGCAAAAACAGATATACTTGCATAGATCATACTAAAGTGTGTGATGGAGTGGAAGACTGTCCAGATGGCTATGACGAAGATACCTGCAGTCCTGTTTGTCACAAAGGTGAACTACAATGCAAAGATAAATCGTGTGTATCACACGACAAGATTTGTGATGGGTTTCATGATTGTCCTTCTGGTATTGATGAAGCCCACTGTGATAGTCCCTGTAGATTCGGTGAGTTTATATGCGATGATGGCTCATGTATTCCACATCAAAAAGTATGTAATAACCGTTTTGACTGCAAACCAAATGGAGAAGATGAGAAGTTATGTAGGCCAAACTGTGCAGCTGGTGAATTCCAGTGTTTAAGTGGTGTATGTATACCGTATAGACACATGTGTGATGGAATTCGACACTGTCACCCTAGAGGAGAGGACGAGTTTAACTGTGATCCACACTGCGCTCCGACTGAGTTTCAATGCAAGGACGGAACGTGCATCTCGTTTATTCATGTTTGTGATGGAGTTGAAAATTGTGAACCAAGCGGTGAGGATGAGACCCACTGTAAACCGCTGTGTGGTTTTGATGAGTATCGATGTAAAAATAGCTCTTGTATTCCAAATAATTATATCTGCAATGGTTACCGAGACTGTCAACCTCATGGTGAAGACGAACAACATTGTGAAGCAGCCTGTTTATATGATGAATTTAAATGCAGAGACGGAAAATGCATACCGAACGAGAAGGTATGCGATATGGTTCTTGACTGCAATGTCGGTGAAGATGAATTGTTTTGTCACCCAATTTGTCCTTCTGGAACGTTTCAGTGCAAAGACGGTTTATGTTTGGATTATTATCTTGTCTGCAATGGAAATGGGGACTGTGCACACAATGACGACGAGTCAAATTGCAAACCGACATGTCCACACGGCAACTTTCAGTGTGCTAGCGGCGAATGTCTTGGCAATGAGAAAGTGTGTGATGGAATTAAAGATTGCCCAGTTAATGGAGAGGACGAAACTTTCTGCACTGGTCCATGTCCTGTTGAATTTCAGTGTCAGGATGGGGTGTGTATTCCTCACGACCAAGTATGCGATGGAAGCAATGATTGTACATTGGGTGAAGATGAAAAACACTGTTCTCACCGATGCCACTTAGGTGAGTACCAATGTGGGGATGGTTCGTGTCTACCATACAGTGACGTGTGTGACGGCGAAGATGATTGCTTACCCCAGGGAGAAGATGAGGCACACTGCTTGCCAGTTTGTCAATCGGGCGACTTCCAATGCAGCGATAAGTCATGCCTGCCGTTTGAGAAAGTGTGTAATGGATTTGAAGATTGTCGTCCTTCGGGAGAAGATGAATTGAACTGTTCTCCTAAATGCCATTATGGACAATATTTATGTAAAAGTGGACATTGCATTCCAGAAGCTAAACTTTGCGATGGTCATATAGATTGCTTACCGAATGGTGATGACGAAAAACACTGTAAACCTCCGTGCAGTGCACATGAGACGATTTGCGATCAGGGAGCTTGTATACCGACCAAAAAATTATGTGACAAACATCAGGATTGTGAAGATGGCACAGATGAGAAATTCTGCCCGCATTATTAAAAATCAACATTCCAAAATAATTGTTTCTCTAGAACATTTTTTATATTAATTGTAACAAAGTTAGTTCATTGCACGACCGATATAATTCCGATATTTCTTTAAAACTGATGACCTTGTCTAAAGTTATGAGACAATAAACCATAAATTGTGAATTAGCAGATAGCAGATTCACAAGACCATGTTATCAGATTTAAAAATCAAATTAAATTCACAAAAAACAATAATGTATTACTTGTCGATATGTCGTCGTATATTTGTGTGCATGTGGTTCGTGTGTGGGGTGCATGTGTGTGTGCATTTATATTAGTGTATCAATTTATTCAGTATTACTATACACATTCATTGTGCCGATTTTCTTTTTTTCATAGAAACGTCAACACTTATTTTGTCTGTTAATATGTAAGAATAGAGAAAGAAAAGTTACAATCCTACAAACTGTCGAAGGAACATGAAGCAGATGTATTTATCAGCTAGCAGTGCCATTTTAACATTTTGTTGGCTGGTCGAAGTTTAGTTCATTACTCTCCGGCTGGTCGAAGTTTAGTTCATTACTCTCTGTACCAATGTATATCGGAGGAAAACCAATATGTATTTTCTACATATTAGTAGACTATATCTATAAAATTGATTAAATAAGCCTCTGAAGCCCCTAAATTATTATTCTTTGGGGCCTCGCTCCCTGGACCGCTTCAAGACAATTTGAGTGATGGCAGACCACGCCCGCTTCGGGCCACCCCAGCCTCCTAAAATTTTACCTTACCCCTAACTTGTCTCCCAGATTTCACTCTGGCGCTGCCACTGAAAAAGGTTATAATTATTTTTATAGATGTTTTATGCAATTAATATAAGTAAAGGTGTACTGTATATGCAAGGACATTATGCAAGGGGAATAGAAGAGAGCTACAGAGAAAAATGGTAGTTCAATTCTTCCTACAGTAGAGTGAAACAACTAGATAGAAAAATACAAGAACATAGGAATTTTATTTAAACGTCCATTGATCGGCAAGGAAAATATTCTTTTCTCGTTCTATTTTCAACTTAAATGCAAGCTAATAATTTGAAAATCATTTTATATATTTTAGGTGCAGATTTCTGTAGCAGTATGCCTTTCGATGTGCGAATAACAAATTACATATGTAATAAACACCAAGACAAAACCAAACATAAAAATACCTTTCCCGCACTATTCATTATTATACTGATTGAAAATACAGAAGAAACCGTTATTACAATATTTTGATAGTAAGATTTTAATTACATTCGAATGATACTATAAGCTTGAATAGATAAGATATAATACATTGCACATATGATTGATAAAACTAATTGAAATTATCCAAAGTAACAGAAATATAAACGTTGCATTATGGTTTCCTGTGAAAATATGGACTGATTGATTTAAAATTCAAGATTATAAAATTACATCGGCGACATCTTTGCTGGTATAATCATCATTAGCCTCATTTTTTATGCCATCGTCTTTATCATCATTAGCTGTGGCATCTTGGTGTTCATCGGCGCCAGTCGGGGTTGAAGTTCTACGCCTTCGCCTAAGCTTGCGGATACGATGTCGAAGTCTACGAAGAAGGCGGCGGAAGAATCCTACTGGTCGACTAGGTACAGCCGACTGGGTAACCGTATTTGAGTCTACTACAATGTCTGGTCGCTTAGTGGTTTCTATAATTTTGCAAAAGAATAATATTGTACTGTGGTTCTAGATGTGTGTTTTACAGCAAGTTAACCTTGTACCGCAAAGTTCAACTTGTTATTTTAATACAAGAGTGGAATGATCAGGCTATACAACATGCAATGGATAGAATATAAAATAAAAAGCTAACCGTTGCTGGTTTTCGGAGTGACTGCCTTCTTGTCATGCTTAATCAAATTGGTTGCATTTGTGTCATAGTCATTGGGGATATTGTCTGACTCAAGGGCTTCGGTACCATCTGCTACTTTGTTCTTAACTGCTTCACTGCTACCACTCAACTGAAGCTCGTCTTGTATGCTGTCGGTGACTTTTAAAAAATAGAATAAAATGCCGTAAAACCTCGAATTGGAAGCCCAATGTGCTTAATCTCGAGAAGCCCATCTCAAATTGAAGCCCCTCTTTAGTTTGCAAAATTAGCCTCGAAAAGAAGCCAATGGGCTTCTTTTCAAGATAGCATAGGCTTCTGTTCGAAATAGTACAATGCATACACTGTACATGAATTAAAAAATAAAAAAAAATAAAAACAAGATTGATTTATACAGTAATTAATAGGTGATTTAATGTCGGTTAATACACTCCATGATCCATGAAAAAAACCCCAAAAAACTAGGCAGCCCAGGGCTTCATTTCGAGGTTTTACGGTATTAAAATACAAAATGTAGTCATTTTAATAAATATAAAACATAAATTTAATAATGTTTTACTGAAATCATAAATCGGATAAAAAAAATCAATAAATAATAATAAACAAAATCAGCTAAAAGATGTCTTAAGAAATATTAAAGTAAAAAAAAAACAGGCCAATGTTAAAAGTAGGGAATTAATTGTTAAATATAAAACGTGTAGGCCTATTCTAAAATCAATGTTAGCTGAAATTACATCATGAATCTCAAGACCTACCACTGTTGCAAATGCTATGTTTTACTCCTTCGATGTCATATAGTCTTACGTTGTGTACAGATTCAACACCCTCCGCTACTTCATGGTTCGCAACTGCTTCACTGCTACCACTCCGCTGAAGCTCCTGTATGCTGTTAGTATCTTTTAAAAAAATCAGAATAAATAGCATAAGAAAAATATCTTTTGAAAATATAATAAGTAGGCCCGGATTAACATACAAAATGTTAGGAGTAGAGAATTAATTATTAAATATAAAACAAATAATTTAGGAATAACTAAAATTGCATCATAAATCTCATACCACTGTTTGACATGTTTTTTCCTTCGACGACGACATCATGTACCTTGGTATCCTTGTCCGATTCAAGAGATTCAACACCATCTGCTACTTCCTGGTTCGCAACTGCTCCACTGCTACCACTCCATTGAAACTCCTGTATATTGTCAATATCTTTTAAGAAACCATAATAAGTAATGTTAGAAAAAAAAGTCTTAAGGAAAAAGAATAAATATTAAAGTAAAATTAAAGGCCTAGTGTCTTAAAACTAGGGAATTCAAGAGATTCAACACCATCTGCTACTTCATGGTTCGCAACTGCTCGACTGCCACTACTCCAATGAAGCTCCTGTATGCTGTCAATATCTTTTAAGAAACCATAATAAATAATGTTAGAAAAGAATGTCTAAGGTAAATAGAATAAATATTAAAGTAGAAATAAAGGCCTAGTATCTTAAAACTAGGGAATTATTAATTAAAACATTAACACCTACCACGGATTAAAATGTTATTTTTTACTTCTCCGACGTCATCGTATGCTTTGGTATTATTGTTAGATTCAAGAGATTCAACACCATCTGCTACTTCATGGTTCGCAACTGCTCCACTGCTATCACTCCACTGAAGCTCCTGTATGCTGTCAATATCTTTTAAGAAACCATAATAAATGATTTTAGAAAAAAAGTCTTTAGTAAATAGAATAAATATTAAAGTAGGAATAAAGGCATAGTATAAAACTAGGGAATTAATAAAATAAAACATTAAGAATAATTTCAACGGAAATTGCATAAAAAATCTCAAAGACCTACCACGGATGAAAATGCTATTTTTTACTTCTCTGACGTCATTGTATGCTTTGGTATTATTGTTAGATTCAAGAGATTCAACACCATCTACTACTTCATGGTTCGCAACTGCTGCACTGCTACCACTCCATGGAAGCTCCTGTATGCTGTCAATATCTTTTAAGAAACCATAATAAATGATTTTAGAAAAAAAGTCTTAAGTAAATAGAATAAATATTAAAGTAGAATATAAAGGCACAATATAAAAATAGGGAATTAATATAATAAAACATTAAGAATAAATTTTAACTGAAATTGCATCAAAAATCTTAAGACCTACCACGGATGAAAATGCTATTTTTTACTTCTCTGACGTCATCGTATGCTTTGGTGTTATTGTTAGATTCAAGAGATTCAACACCATCTGCTACTTCATGGTTCGCAACTGCTTCACTGCTACCACTCCATTGAAGCTCCTGTATGCTGTCAATATCTTTTAAGAAACCATAATAAATAATGTAAGTAAAAAAGTATTTTAAGTGAATAGAATAAATATTAAAGTAGAAATACGATCTAGTATAAAACTAGGGAATTATTAAATATAAAACAATAAGAATAAATTTTAACTGAAATTGCATAAAAAATCTCAAAACCTACCACGGATGAAAATGCTATTTTTTACTTCTCCGACGTCATCGTATGCTTTGGTATTATTGTTAGATTCAAGAGATTCAACACCATCTACTACTTCATGGTTCGCAACTGCTTCACTGCTACCACTCCGCTGAATCTCCTGTATGCTGTAAATATCTATTAAGAAACCAAGTAATATTAGAAAAAGTAGAAAATTAATTATCAGCTAAACAAAATTATTAAAAACAAATTACATTTTTACCTGAAATTGCATCATGAAATAGACCATCAGAACTATCCTCCTCTACACTGACAGCCTTCTGCTGCTCCGGTTTAGAGCTGACATCCATTTGCCTTGTCAAGTTGTTTTCCTCTACATCCGGGCTACTATGTTGCTCATCATTCAGAGTTACATCACTTTCGTTCAATGGCAGGCTACTACTTTGCCTCATACCATAGGACTTGTCTATAAAAACAAATACAATGTAAAACATATAAATATAAATTAATATAAATATATATAAAATATATAAATAAATAATAAATAAATTTAATATATATACATATATATACATACATACATACATACATACATATATATTATATGCATATATATTATATGTATGCGTATTTAATAACAAATGAACACAAGATACTTTTAAAAATTGAACAAATCGATGAATATTTTGTTTAAAGACGATTATACTAATCCATCTTTAAGAGTTTTGTATAATATTTTAGAAAGTAGTACCATAAATAATAAACGTTATGAACGGTTTTTCAAGACTCATATCGCATTATAATTAATCCATTGTTCCACATCACAAATTTGAATATACCATAAATAATAAACGTTATGAACGGTTTTTCAAGACTCATATCGCATTATAATTAATCCATTGTTCCACATCACAAATTTGAATATAGAGATTAAAATGTAAAAAAGATAGATTTACATACATTACATGCAAATGTCATAATTCAAACATTTTTTTTATATCAATTCTAACCGTTTGTTTTTGCTTTCCCTTGGTCCGTCTCAAACAAAAGTCTCATGTTTTCAAAATGTTGAATTTTACGCCGGGTTGATCCTTGTCGTATTGGGCAGTCGTCAATAAAAGCACTCTTAATAAAAAAAATATATATATTATTGAGAAAGTGTGATAAAATGCAATACGGTGGAAGAAAAAGAAATTATATTCAAAAACATAGATAAGCTTTTCAATCGCAATTCCTTTTCATTGTCGGATTTATTGATTGATTACAATACCTGAATGTTTTATAATGCTTATTAGGCTCTTGTATAATTATTATTTTGTAAAGGTTTAATATTATAAGGCCTATTTTCAGATAAAATTAAAGTTTTACCTGGACCACAAGGACATTATTATTTTGGCAAAATTTCTGTGTCACATCTCCACATGCTACTTTCTTGCCCAGCATCTTTCCACCGCCGACAAGTTTAGGGGATGGGGACAGAACCATCTTCTTTACCCTTGCTTCTTTTGATGGTTTGGGGGCAACAATTGGCTTGACTTTACAGGCTACATACTCTCCCTTTGGTTTTACATTCACAGCATCTTGGTTATTGATCTTAGCAATATCATCATTAACTCCTCCTGTTTGTGCCTCACTGGTGATCATATTATGAGCTGATATGTCTTGAACAATGAGTTGAGCTGTTTCTACCAGGCTCTTCTCACTCGTGTCATTGAGTGCAGGTACCGAATTGACAATCTTCACTGCGGATTTTATAGCTCCTTGGACAACATTTTGTGCTATTTCAACAAGTTTTTCTTCACTCTGGGTTTCCTTGGTTGGTTCGGCAGAATTTAAGCTGGTAGTCGTCTCAGAATGGCTGATGGCTGGAAATAATTGGTGGTTTTTGTCAATTTCTACTGTAATGTCTTCAAGTTTGGCTACGTCATTGCTCTTCAGGCATAGGTCATTGCTTACAGCTCCCTGGGCAATATATTGATGTTCAGCAACATGATGATTTACTGGTGCCTCTATAGCTAACTGATTTCTATTAGATCTGACCATCCCGTCAAGAATAATCACTTGGTTCCGTAGGGCATTGAAGATATCAGGAGTAAGCGTGGGGTTAAGTGATAGGCCTAAATGTCCATTGTCAGAGCCAATGAAGGTCATGCTGGTACAGGGTGGAGTAAAGAACCCATCGTTGTTGACCAAAATCTTCTCCTCCTCTTCTTCTACCGGGCATAGTTTGTTCAGTCTTGCTAATGCTGTACTAGAGTGAATCACTTCAGGTTTACCATCAATACTTTTTGTGATGTTAACTTTGGTGTTACTGATGAGACGTGCCAGTCTTGGTATATCACGATGGAAGCTTTCTGCAATACGTCTACGCTGGCTATTATGTGCTACCCATTTGTTAAGGATGGCTGTTGATGAAAGTCGACTCTGCAGCATTCCCATATCCCAGAAAAGATCCTTTCTGTATGGAAGGGGAGCAGTATTGGCACTGCAGAAGCTGATGTCACTCTCACATGCTAAGTTATGCTGACTGGGACAGCAGCTGGTCATTCGGCTTGATAGGCGGCTATTGATGCCAATCTTAACACGGGATGATGCAGACGAGACAAAGCCAACAGGCTTGTTCATGATCAAGTCACTTGGCTTGATACTCAGCGGCATAATGAGCTCCTGGATCTCTTCTGAAGAGCTGCATTCTTCCTCTCCATCGGATTCGTCAGATCCATATGCAATATATTGTAGAATCTTTGATCTCTTGGCTTCAAAATTAACAATTTTATCTGCAAAGAAAATTGATTCATACTAAATAATAGGCCCTACGATATAATAGTAAATGACATACAGTATAATATTGATGTATATGTTAATTAGTAGTGCTAAGACGATTAATGAAATTAAAATTAAATAAGATTATGATTTGCATAGATAAATGAATGAATGAATGAATGAATGAATAAACAAACAAAACAAAAATTGTTTCGCGAAGTCTATTTAAAAAATAATTTATCAGCCCCAAAAAGTTATTGAAAATACCATTTATTAAAGTGAAATACATTTATCATTGATTTATTTTTAATTACAGTGCTTAGATTATTAAAATCAAAGTTAAAATTAGGAAAAAAAATATAATATATTATATCAAAAATAAATGAACAAAACAATAAATGACTGACTGACTGACTGACTGACTGAATGAATGAATGTATAGTATACATATAGAATGGGTCTAAATAAAACATTCTATAATATTTTGTAAAGGTCTTGTAAAAAAATGATTACATTTTTGTGACGATCTGCAGTATGGTGTGGATCTGAGGACCAGTTAAAGGAAAAAGATGTGTATAAGAGACAGTATATAATTATAAATGTGTGTAAAAAAGGTGAAACAATTTTTACGACTTTCTTTCACTTTTGGAGGCTTGGCTATAGAGTGTTCCTTAGAAACAAGTATTGTGTGCGCACAATCATACGCTTTTCATTCCCTATGGCTTTTTTGCGCGACGACGCTAGAACTGATTCACTCATCATGCGTGGCCTTTGGATCACGCGCGGGCGTATTACTCCATTAATAACATTTTTTTCGTTAGCAACAACTTGGCAACGACATGCTTTTGTACGCTTCAAACACGGGGTAGTTGTGCGATAATAAACCGTTTGATTTTAACTCACTAATTAACAATGACTTTTAGTATGTTATTATATGTATATTTCAGGATCAGAATCCGCAAAATATTTCTGTTACCAGGGAACAGTGAATTTCACTGTTCCCTGCTGTTACAATTCTGTGTTCATTATAATTTTTCGAAAGATCGATTGGATTGGTTCGTGTATAAAGGCTAAGCAGCGTAAAACTGAAAGTTACTTTGACTTTGGATTGAATTTGAATAGTCCACACTCGTTCACACTAATAGTTTATTATATTTCCCAATCGTTCCTTAATTATATATCTGTAAAATTAGAATTATCGAGTTTTATCCAATTTATGGAAACTCAAGTTGAAATATACCATATTTTTAAAGCTCATGTAAATGTTCCATTAAATTTGAAACTCTTTTTAAAAAAGAAATATTAATATATTTGGTATTTCATGAAAGGTGTTAGCGTCAAGGTGGAAACAATTGCGCAGCCATAGTGATTGTCTGTAAGTAGTGCGGATTGAGGAAAAAAAGGTGCTCTCCATTTCACCATGTTCAATTTTTTGGTAAAATATGCCTGCTGAGCATTTGGTGGCGGGGAACACATTAGACTTCAAAGGCATCGCGCAAACGTTCTTCACGCGCTGCGACAGCTTTGTTCTTGGCTCATTTCCATAGCGCTGCGTGCGCGGAGCTTTTTCGAGTGATCGAAAGCTCCCAGTATTTACCAGATGCGCGCGCCAATGTTTCTTAGGAACCAATGATAGGGTTTTGTTTGGCTTGTTGTTGTAGGTAGTAACTGGGTTTGATGTTCTACATTCTTATCTTTTTCTTTTCATTTCATTGCATTTATTTAGTCCAAGAATCAATAAAACTAACAAAAATATTATGACAAAAATGAAAACACCAACTCAATTTGCCGGACATTGACAAAACGTGAACCAATGACGAGAACATTGATAAACAGACTAAACAGTTAACAAATTAGTATAAAAACCAGTACTGTATAAATATAAAATATATACTGTATGGTAATGAAATATTCTGAAAATACATTTGATAAAAATAATAATGTTCAAATAGGCATTGTGTCTACGCGGGACAACAACCAGACACGATATCAATATGAAATGATTTCTTTTCAAAAAATAACTTTAAATTTCTAATAAAGAAATAATTTATGTTCAAATTTCGTCTCGCACATGACAGTCAATAAATTGATTATCTCCTACCTGAGTAAGTTATAAAAACACTAAATGTAAACACTATTACTATTAGGCCCAGTACGTGAGTATGAGAGTGTTTAACCATGGTTAAAACTTACATTAGTCAATCTTGCTGAAATATTGAGTATTCGGCGCACACTAGTAGGATGATAGAACGCGTGCGCACACGCACAAATCCACAAGTCTCTAGGGGCCCTGGGCCTAGCCACAGCCTTGGCTTGGCTGCTGCCTGACATGACATTTTAGAATTAAAAAAACGCTTCTTATAATATATTTACTTAAAACACTGAATAGTAAATGCGAAACTTACCAGTTTGATTAGAATCTTGGTCCATGTTTTGATTTGAATATATATCTTTTAATAGTGAAAAAACACACAAATATAAGAATCCTATCCTATAATTTCGTCCGTGTTTATCTCTCGAGCTGGAATGTGTTGCTTATTTCTATAGTGATAAAGGAAAATGCCTGCGCGCAATATTACGCGCATTGTTCATTGTTCATCATAAATAAACAAAATGATGATAATATAGGCCTATAATAATAATTATAATAATAATAG